CAAAAGAGGAATAGCCTCGTTAGGAGGAGAAGCCCCCGTCCTCCTGGGGAGGTTTATTTTAGGTGTCCCTCGGTGGTCTGCCCTCAGTGCCCTCCCAAATCCTTGACAAAAGACCCTGGACAATCAGATATACTGCCATCCCTGCATCACAGTACTTCTGTGTTCACAAGAAGAAATGCAGGTGCATGGGTGACTCATCATGGCTCACAGAGGGACATGCTGGGAAAAGAGCAACCATTTGTCAAGGGCCCTGTGTTGTGTTTATGTGTACTTTGCCAGTTTTCCATCGTATATTAAGGATCCTTTAAAAGGAAATAGATGTTTACACATCAGTGGAACGGTATGCGTAGGTGCCTCTTGGATTAGCGTATTTAACTGCTGTTGACGGGATGTAGCCTGGGCTGCTTTGTCCACACGGATTTGATCTGATTAATGACTATTAGGGATAGGATGAGTGTCAGGAAGTATTAGAGGTATGCAGAGAACGAGACAGGGAGTGAATAGGTGGCCACGGAGACCAAACAAGAGTGAGATTATCCACACTGGAAGATAGTTTTGGGAGTTTTGGCTCACTGCCATGAGGACTCCTACTTTATATCTGGAAGTATATGAAATGATTTTATAGCAATTATATGACATTGAAAGTAACAATTATGTCATAGCTCAGTGATAAAAGTATCTTATAAATGTTTTCCAAATCTCAGAGTTGTTATTTTTCTTAATATGGAAGTTAAAATTTATGTCTGGGTCCTGGATCATACACCAGGATTCCTGGCTCAGTTTGTGGTCTTTAACTTCAGAGACTGAAGGTGACTTTTAATTGTTCTCCTAAAACAGTTATGTGCAAATTGTGAGGCAGTCATCCCAGACCCATTTCATACTCTTCCTCTGGCCACAATAAATTCTTCCCATGTGCATCAACACCCCACCCCCGTTAGAGCAGATTGGTCTCTTTGCTTTTTGCCTTTGCCAACGCTCATTATAAAGTGAATCTGTCAGCCTCCTCTTTGAGCGAATTAGCATCTTAAGCTTCTCCACTTGCTCTCGCTGCCTCTCTTCTCCAGTGGGGAGAAGAGAGGCAGTCGGGGCCCCCCGACCAGTGCCTCTGGTTGGGGGGCCCCGAGGGAGGAGCGGGGAGGAGGGACGGCAGCGAGAATGAAATGCGAGCGTTAAAGAAGAGACGGAGGGGAAAAAGTGGAAAATGCTCCTTACTAGTTAAACCCAGTGACCTCTGTCTCATTAAAGAGAAGCAACATAAACTAAGAGTAGAGGAATCAGCAGTTCCCCTTGTTCCAAAACCCAAAAAATCTGCCATGAGCCTTTTTTAAACTTTGTGTCTGGATGAGTGCAACGAAAATTAAGTTTGTTACAAATTTACATTATTAGCCCAATCCTAGTCAGGTCACCAGGGGGAGGGGCAGGATCTTATAAGCCTGAAGGCAAACAAGCCTGAAGTCATAACAGGACCGACAGATGAACAGACGTCCGCGGCCTTCTGTGATGCATCTGAAGCAGAGAAACACTTGTAAACAAGTGGAGAACAAGCATTCTTTGTCAGGTTTTACTTTTAATCACGTCTACTGCTCTACTATGGAAAATAAGGAAAAAAATAGATATAAGAAAGCCATAATGTTACAGTATGTTTATAAAACTATACGCTCATAAAAGCTTGGAACTCAGCAGCAGCTGCTGACCTTATAAAAGTGCTCAAGGTGTTCTAGTTTTATACCAACCTGAAAGAAACAGTTTGAACATTGTACCTAAAGGCACAACAACTAGCCTATTAGAATATAATTGGAGTATATTACTGTTTTTCAAAGTCTCATTTCCAATAAGCTGATGGCTTATTGGAAATGAGACAAAAATGGGGAAAATCAAACACAGGGTGGGGTTACAAAGGACACAGTTACAAAGGAAAGAAGAGCAAAATAGGAGGCGATGCTGTGACAGTCTGTGTGCCAAAGTCTCCTTGGGCAAGAAAGTGAACCCTGTTGTTCTATGATTATAGAACAATGTTAGTTTAAAATATAATTCTATTAAAATAGAAGACAGTACCAGAATGTGAGTGAATCAGGCAGAAAAATGCTATATAAAGACCAGTCCACTTATATTTTTAATAACAGTGTTTTTTTTTTACTCTAAAAGCCATGCAGGGACAAAATATTAAGAGTCCTCAAGCACAGTGCAGAGTGGATGAAGTCAATTACAGTTTGAGTACCTGTCGTTGAGGGATGCTCCAAAAAGAAGTAAAGTGAATATAATTGCAACGTGTCAGACAAAAAGATTTTAATTGTCTGCACCATATTTGGAAAAAATCAGCTTCAGGAATTCTGATATATTTGGTTTACAAAAAACAATATTTTCTGTTTTCAATAGAATTCCAAGGTGGAGGTATGCAGTCTCTGCATTTTAGACAGAAATGTGGGGAAAATAATGTTTTGTCCGGCCAAGACTCAAACTTGGGATTTAACATTGCATTTGCGTGCTGTATCCACACTATGAGTTGCAAACTTTCACTTTCAAGAGCAGAAATTCAGGAGAAGTTTTGCAATCAGTGAGAACAACCTGAGTATAAGGAGCATGGATTAACTGGTGCGAGCAGAAATACGTGTAAAAGCAGAGTAGTGTGAATCTGCGCATTGCCGTGTCTGAATGTGAAAAACACAAAAATATTTATGTCGATTTATAGATTTATACACAACATCCTGTACTGTCAGGTGGTCTTCTTCTTCTTCTCTTGCTGTGACCAATTTTTGCACATCTTTGCATGTTACTGTTCCCTGTCAGTAAGTGCCATGCTGACCTTGTCCATAAAGACACCTCTGCACCTCTAATAGAGGTTAAAAACTCCACAGTGAACCTTTAAACTATAACCTTTTTTTTTTTAAATGCATCTTTGCAGACATCTGTTCACACCACACTGAGGCTTTTCCATCTAAATGAGAAGTAGTTGTTTAACTATATAAAATACAAACTGCACAGTTAGCTCCTGTTGAATTAAGGCAATGATTCAAATCAGCAAAGCGCTTCATTATGTCACTCTGAGAGAAGAAGGATGGAATAAGGGAAAGTAGATTTCTTATAGTGACGCAGCAGATTGTATCTCCAATCCATCTGTCTCTGGCTCAGATAATCAAGTCGGTGTTTACAGTAACTCGGTGCCATTTCTCACCTGTCACCGGCGTCTCGTTTCAGACTGAAGGAACCGGGATGATTAGCTGTGACTGTGGCCCACTGGTCTGTGTGAAGGCTGCTGACTCATTCCCCGTGTGCATGTGTTTCAGGCAGATGGAGAAATGAGAAAAGTCAACTGACACTGTTACTTATTACATTAATGGCTTGAACAGTCCCCACGTCTGTAATTTGACTGTTGGCTTATTGAAAGTAAAAATACTTTGGTGGTATGTGATTATCGTAGCCCTGAAAACTGACAGTTTTTATTACACAGCAACAGATTTTACCTTTTAGTTGACTGTGAGAGGGTTTAATGGTTTAGGTTCTCTAGCATATCAATCAAAGCTTATTTCTGGTGGGTTATCATACATCTATCTACCAGTGTTGTTTAGGCAAGGCAAGTTTATTTATATAGCACAATTCAACAACAAGGTGATTCAAAGTGCTTTACAGAGACATTAAAAAATAAAAAGCACAATTTAAAATTGATTTAAAAAAAAAAGTAGACAAAATCAGTAGTTAAATGTAAGTTTTGAAATTTAAGCTTAAAAGTGTGGATTTGGTGCTTTATTCAAATGCAGCTGAGAACAGGTGAGTCTTCAACCTGGATTTAAATAAACTGAGTGTTTCAGCTGATCTGAGGCTTTCTGGGAGTTTGTTCCAGATATAAGGAGCATAAAAGCTGAATGCAGCTTCTCCGTGTCTGGTTCTGACTCTGGGAACTGATAAAAAACCGGATCCAGATGACCTGAGGGATCTGGAAGGTTCATACTGGGTCAGGAGGTCACTGATGTATTTTGGTCCTAAACCATTCAGAGCTTTATAGACCAGCATCAGAACTTTAAAGTCTATCATCTGACGGACAGGCAGCCAGTGTAAAGACCTCAGAGCTGGACTGATGTGGTCCACTTTTTTGGTCTTAGTGAGGACTCGAGCAGCAGAGTTCTGAATGAGCTGTAGTTGTCTGACTGATTTTTTAGGTAGACCTGTAAAGATGCTGTTACAGTAATCAAGCCTACTAAAGATGAATGCATGGACTAGTTTTTCCAGGTCCTGTTGAGACATCAGATCTTTTATCCTTGATATATTCTTAAGGTGATAGTAAGCTGATTTTGTTATTGTCTTAATGTGTTTTTCTAAGTTTAGGTCTGCATCCATCACTACACCCAAATTTCTCGCCTGGTTTGTGGTTTTTAGGTGTATAGATTGAAGTTCTCTGGTGACCTGTAATCGTTTTTCTTTGGCACCAAAGACTATTACTTCATAACCAGTCGTTAATTTCCTCAATGCATTTACCAAGAGCCTGTACAGGGCCTCGGTCTCCTGGTGACATTGTGATATATATTTGTGTGTCATCTGCAAAGCTAGTTTATTTTGTTGTTCTTTATAATCTGTGCCAGTGGAAGCATGTAAATGTTAAACAGAAGGGGTCCCAAGATGGAACCTTGGGGAACTCCTCATGTGATACTTGTCTGCACAGATGTGAAGTTACCTATTGATACAAAGTATTTCCTGTTTTCTAAGTATGTTCTGAACCAGTTTAGTACAGTTCCTGAAAGACCTGCCCAGTTCTCCAGTCGTTTGAGTAATATGTTGTGGTCAACTGTATCAAATGCTGCACTGAGATCCAGCAAAACTAAGACTGACATTTTTCCACTGTCTGTATTCAGACATATGTCATTAAACACTTTGGTCAGAGCGGTTTCAGTGCTGTGGTTCTGTCTAAAACCTGACTGGAAGGCATCATAGCAGTTATTCTGTTTTAAGAAGTAATTGAGCTGTTGAGAGCTGTTTATTAATCACACTTTCCTGTTCTGTCTCCTTAGGGGTACCATACTCATACGTGCAGGAGCAGGCGAGAGATGAGGATACAGATGTTGACGTGAAGCTTTACAGTCACCGGTGGAGGAGATGGCTCCCCCCAAAGCCTCGTAACATGGACAGTAACAGAGCCAGTCAGGAGCAGGACCAGGAGCGTGAACAAGAGGAGCCTGAAGGCTTCCCAGGCCTGGTTTCAGCAGAGGAAGCAGACAACAGCTCCCAGATAGAGGTAAGCAACGATCCAAGGACCACATCTTATTTTTATCACAGCTTCTTTTTCTTTTTTTGCTTTAGAAGGCTAGGACAATAAGTCAAAAGCCAAGCATCAAGCTTTAAAAGTAAAGCTTATTTTACTGCATATGCACAGATTAGGCAATAAAAGAAAACAGCAGGTAAGTGAACCATACTTTCAATTGCTTTAGGTTAGAAGCAACGTCTGGCATGCTTCACTGGTGTTTAACGGCCAGTAAATGCCTGAAGATGCCATTGTTTCAGTCTTGGAGATGCCCAGTAATTGCACTGGTATGTCATTGTTATTTAGGCACTTCCTCACCTTGTAGTGTTACTGCTACCATCCTTACAAAGGCTTTCCTGCAGATGTTGGCATTCTTGGCAGGTTATCTAAGAGTCTTAATTATGGGGGAAATTAAATGGGGGAAGTGAGCGTGTATTTTTGTTGTGGAAGATGCAAAAAACAAGTGTGCTGGAAAGTTTCAGTATTAATTTCCTCTCACGACAAGAAGGTCCTGGGTCAAATCCAGTCAGTGGGTTCAGGTTAGATTAATTGTCAATTCTAAATTGGTTGGAGGTGTGAATGTAAGCTTGAGCAGCTGCCTGTCTTTCTGTGTTAGCCCCGTCATAGATTGGTTACTTGCCCAGGCTGTATCCCACCTGTGTCCCATGGCAGCTGTCATACGCTCCCCTGCAACCCAGATATAGAAAACGAGATGAAAATAGATCGATGGAAACATAAGAAACAGCCAGTTTTCTGTTACATCTCAATATGGAATTTGATTTCATAACCAGGTGCTTCTCTCATAACGACATAACTTAACCGTAATGGTTAAATCAGGGGTGTCAAACAAAACACTTGGGGCCAGAATCAGCCTGGCAAATGTGAAGGAGATTTTGAACTTTTAACTGTATTTTCATGGGTTTTACAGCTTTTCTAATTATTAAAGACCCCCCACTGACATCCATAACACACCAAAGTACAAGAAGATTTTCTGCCAATTAATGAAAACTTTGTATTCGAAATTTATACATGTAATTACAAGACAGTCTGAGCAGTGAACTACCACAAACCTTTTCTGTAACTTTACTTATTATTTATCATTTATCAATCTTCCTCTGACCCAAACCGGTCATGGCAGATGGCTGCCCCTCCCTAAACCTAGTTCTGCTGGAGGTTTCCTTCCCACCATTGCCAAACCATTTGCCCAAACATCAAAGTGGGCTGTAAGTTTATATTAAATAATATGTTAATGAAAGATGTTAAAAGTTCTCCTGCAGTTCACAGTTTCTGCATTTTCACTCACCAGCCTTAATTCATTTCTTGTGTTTGACCGACCTCGCGCAGTAAATCCTCCTACTAGTATGAAATGAATGAATCAATAAGGTCCTCTGTTGAGCCAGACCCAAAAATACTCTTAGGTCACTTCCCTGGAGCAATTATAAATCTCCTTACAAGAGTGGATGTTTAGTAATGAAAAAAGAAGACGAGGAGGGGCCTTTAAGGATTAATATTTTATATCAAATTAAGCCCAGCCCTCAGGTGTTCATTTACCTTCTATGTGGGACTGGATCCTTTTAAATTTGACCTCAAAAAGAACAGAACAGGAAATTAACCCAGCCCCCTACAATGTGAATGGTCTGGAGGACCTGCTGGAGATTAATAGCTGCTCTCAATCTGTGTTTGTATCTATGTAAATGAGAGGCATCGCCCGCATACCTTGTTGTGGCGCCTTGGATGGCACGCAGCATGGGGGCGTTCAGCTGGGTTGTAGACAGCTCGTTAAGTTTTCCCGTGGCCTCTAATCATCTCAGGTTCACAGCCCTGTCTCTCTCAGTGACAAGGGCTGAGAAGCTTTGATCGTCAGCTGTAATCATTCACGCTCAAATTCGTGTGTAAGCACACACACACCACTTTAAATTTCACACAACTGTAAACACGCTCGGACTACAGCACGCACCCGGTGCTCCGTTTGTCATAGCCACGCACATTTATGCTTACATAAGTGCTCGCCGCCACTCAGACATGTCCCGTCTCGTTGTTTTTTGTCTCTCTGAGCCTCATTTGTTGTTGCAGAATGGAAAAAAACAGTCGACAGCACAAACAGCCCGTCAGTCCTCCCTGCCATTACTCAGCACACGCACTCCCTCACCTGCCACCAGCAGAGCCTTCATATTCAGAGGGCAGAAACAGTAAACACTGAGCTCAAGGCTTCCACGCGGCAGTGAGCTGAATGGGTTTAAAGACCGTCCGCTCAAACAGCTTTAGCTGTGTCCTTCTGGTGGAGAAATCTACTCTTTGACACTTTAGCAAAGGTATATATCACCACTCAGTGATGGTAAACACATCCCAGGAGTTATTTTGTACCCTAATTTATTTTGTTGCGCGAGTCTTCAAGCTGCTTTCATCTCTTCAAATAGTGATTTACAACCAAAATTACCTGTCAAAACAAATGTGAATCTAAGCTTGCGCTGAAAAAGGTCGTATAGCTGCATTACACTCCAGTCTGTTGAAATTACTGCCTGTCATGCCATCAATTTCTCGCTGTGTTATTGTTGTTCGTTGATGTGCAATAGTGGGTCTTAAGAGATGCCGTTACGCAGTGATTTTGTCAAAGTGAGTAACAAAGACTTGTGGTAATTACTGACGCTTTGCATCAGTTTGTTTAATGACAGCAAGTTTGATGCTCTTCCAAACTAAAAGACAAAAAAAAATCCCCAGCTATCTTTGTGAAAACCTGTTGGGGTTTCAGACCATATGAGCAATGAAATGTAAAAGAATTTCACACCCTATCAGGTCCTGTTTGGTTTTAAGGTTAAAGTAAGAGGTGGAGCAAGCAGCGGTCGTTCGAAGGCGGGTTGTCGAGCTCATTTTACACCGTGGGCCACATAGAGCCCACTTTGGTCTTCAGTGGACCAGTGAACTCCTCTTTCTGTCAGTATAAAGAGCATTAAATACATATTTAATCCCTGAAATATCTAAATATAAGAAGAAGTTCAGTTTCAGCCACATGTCTCGGTTTTTCTACATGATAAAGAAAAAGCGTTACGCTGCTGCTGTAACTCTTTGGGCTTAAATTGTAATAAATAAATGTAAAAAATTACAGAAAAGGTTCTGGTAGCTTATTGCCCACACTGTCTTGTAATTATAAGGCACAAAGTTTTTGTTAATTTTAGTTATTATTAATTTTTTTTTAATCCGAACTCTATACCCAGCTTCACATTTTCCAAAGCTGTCCAGTGGGCCAGTTTGGAGTTTTTGCCGGGTTGCTTGTGTTTGACATCCCTGCCTTAAACAAGAACGAATCTGAGATCGGCATGCAGCACCTAGGCAGCTCACTCTCTGGGCAGTATTTACCGAGTTTATAGCATTTATAGCAGTTTGGGGTGCAAAGAGGAGGCTTTTGTTATTTTCTCTGCTGAAATTATGCTTCAAATATTTGTGAGCACAATTATTTTTATTGCTTCTATTTATGTGGATATAGTACGTTGTGTTGTGTTTGGTAAATATGCTAAAACAGAAAAAAGTTAAATGCTTAACCAGCTCTGAATTTATGAATACGATTTTTTTTTTCTTATTTGGTGCATTTGAGAGAGGACAGAGCTAGAGTATAGAGAAAACCCAAAACAGTAAATACTACTTGTTGTCCAATTCCACTTTTTTGCTTGTTGTACAATGCAAATAATTAAAAATGTAGAGTTTGTGCTAAAAAGAAGTCATTTTTGTGTTACCATTTAAAGTCAGTTTGTCAGTTTGAAAAAGAAAAACACAACTATACAACCATACAGAGACTCACAAGGCCCCAAACTTTAAGTTTTTATGCGTGTTTTATCCAAGGATAGACTGAATGCTTCCTAGTTGAACTCATCCGCATCAGTGCAGGTGTAAAAATCTGTTGATCTTTTTCTTTCTCCTTCCTTTTGAGGTCATTCTGTGCTTGTTTAACACACAAGTTAGCCAATAGCAGCTTTCATGTCACCTCTACATGAAGGTTTTAACCACAGCGGCTTAGACAGCAGACTGTCTGACGCCTGAACGACGGTTACTCACTGCAGCAGCTCTCCGGATCATTAACCCAGATTAAACAGCTTCTCTGCTGAAGGTGTCCTCAGGTCACTGTACGATGGAATAAGAAAGGCAGAATCAAACTGTAGGAACGAGTCAGGGTGTCTGAATATAAGCCAAGTCTCATCAGCAGCTGAGCACACTGAGGTCTCTGCACACCCCGACATGCTCGCAGCTTGTGGTGGTTCTGTTGTATTTTTCATGTTTGTTATCTAATGGCTACCTTTCAACATGTTATGCAATTGTGGCTGCAGGCACTTCATGTACAACATAGAGTTTTATTTTTTTCTGTTTTGAAGAACATGAAGGAAACTATAAAAATATCTCTGAATTTTTATCCCATAAATCACAACCTAATGGTAACTAATGCCATAATTTTTTAATGCACAGTACTTCTTTAATTTCCTGTTGTAAGGGATCATCTAAACTCCTCCAAAAGTAACAGTATCAATAGATCGTGAGGGAACAGCTGCTATGTATATACATCTTTGTATTGGGCTGAAGAGACATCAAATAAATTTGAACTAAGGCAGTGGCTGTGTTTTCATGTAATACTGCTTTCTACCACAAGGTCATACACAGAGTTCATGTAACCGTTATTTAACCAGGTAAAGGAAAACATTTTCAGCGGTGCAAGACGAAGGAAATCGGTTCAGGACTAAAAATGTTTTTGTCATGGAGGAAGAGCTCTGCCTTTAATCAGTGTAGGACAGGTAAACAGCATAGGCGAGGGCAGGTAAAAGGTAAAACAAGTCAATACACAAGAAAATCCAACATTAATACAACAGAATAAAACAGGAAACAGGAGGAAAAGACAAGTTTATGCCGTGAAAACTTTACATCAGAGTTGAACAAAGACAAGGTGGCAGTGGGGATAGCAAGGCTGGAGGCATTTATACCCAAGAGGACACGTGTGGCACAAAATAGGTGAG